AAAGTGTGTTAAATATTATCTATCTTAAGTATTTTAAAGCTGTTTATTCTCCTAGAATACAGCTGGTATATATATTACTTTGGTGAATCTTTTCAGAGGGTGAATTATACTACTACTTACCACCTTAGAAGTGTATAAAAATTTTAACCCAGCAATTGTATATCCAGGAATTTATCTGAAAGAAAATAGTCATGAAAGTGGCCAAAATTGGCCACACGAATGTTCGTTCATCCCACCGTTATTTAGAAAACAAAATGCTTAGAAGCTTGATGTCCATAGAAAGATGCTAGATACTAATTTAATATGGTATGGGAGATGCATGTTTAACGACATTGAAAGAAATATATGTTAGTTGAGAAAAGCACATTACAAAATAATTTGCATGATATGATTCCCATGATTGTGATAAAAGAAATACATACACACACAAGATTGAAAAGATATATGCCAAAATGCAGCATCTGACCTCACAGGTAATTTTTTTTTCCTTGAAAAGTTTTTAACAAGTAATATTGTATTAGTACTTACTGCCCAGAGACCAGTTAATGGACTTTGCACAGTGTGTGGCCAACTTTGACAACACCAAACTAAGCCCAGACTGACGCCCAGGGAATGCTACCTGATGACGACTTGAGAAGTGATTAAATAGGTTCTTAAGCAGAAGTATTTCAGCTTGTAGGGCTTCCATGCTCTTCCAGCAGCCCACGGCACTGGGTTTAGTCATGTATCCAGTGGGCCCTGTAATCACAAATGGAAAATCAGTGTCAGGCTTTGTGTCTAAGGGCTCCCTGACCAGAAGAAAGTAAGAGAGCTGCTATTTACTTTGTTTATGCTGAAGCCTTACAAGTACCTTTGAAAAGTTCTGAGCCAGGTCATTTCTCTCCTATGCTATTTAGGTCTCCAGATCACACTAAGTTTGTGGGAAGTTTCAAAACCAAACAAGACTTCATAGATTTGATTGAAGTAATTTATCGAGGAGCAATGAGGGGGAAACTTATTGTGCAAAGTCCTATTGATCCCAAGAATATTCCCAAATACGACCTCCTCTATCAAGACATTTAGTGCTTTCGCTGCCATCAGAGTTGAAGAGAAAGGCCCATCTCGAAACAGTACCTAACTCCAGCTGTGCGGTTTTCCTGGGGTCCTTCAGAAACATGGTCAGCATCCCAGAGAATAAGAGTTTTGACCTCAATAGAAAGTACCGGCCACCAAGCAGCAGACCACACTGGTGCTGGGACATTCGGGGATGCCCAAGTGTCTACGCCCTGCAGACCTCAGAGAGGTCAAGCCAGCCATGGTCAATTTCCCCAGTGTGGGTATTTTAATTTCTCTGTATATTGTGCTTTTCTTTATTCTTTAAGATAATACAGAATCCTTCTAAATTTGGCTTGGGCAGTTTGATTCAACTATGTTTATTTGATACATTGAGTAAAATAGAAAATCAGTTCACATAAGAGCAAAAACACTTGTTTTCTACCCTATGTGTGCATACCCACACCTTCCTTCATCCTCAGCCTCACCTTCCCCCGCTCATGTATTTATCTCATGCTCACCTACTATCCCAGGTTCTCTTGGAATAAATCATTCTCTACTGATAGTGGCCAAGTTTGTTTTATCTTCAAGCCTTTTTGGCTCAGAATTTTAAAGCTGTCTTGGCTTGCTCATTTTATCAGCTTTTATGTTATTAAATTGCCCCAGAGGTGAGAACTTGAACCTTTACTGTCCAGCACCCAATTTAAGCTAAACAAAAAATTAACTACCCTTAGTCATTCGGAACCAGTCTCTCTTGGAGCTCTGTCTCTTTCTGAGGAGAAAACTGTACTTCAGGGACTCAAGACTGGAAAGAGATCTCAGAACTGCTAGAAAGAAGTATCATATATAGGACCTGCCCATTTTAATAACTTTATGAAGAATTCTTGCTCTCCCAGGGCCCCCTGGCACAACCTTCACCACTTGGGCATGTTCCTCCTCTTCTCATGGACTGAATGGCCCTGATTTTCTAGAATAAGAATGTGTGCAGAACCAGAAGGCATTGCACCAAACAGCACATGACCCGCTCGGCAGCTGTTGGCCTTCATGCAGGGAAGCAGTGTCACTGCACAGCTGTCCCCCTTTGCCGAGTGCTTTCTTTCCAAGTCTTCTGTGACCAACGTGGCAGAGAAGGAAGGTTGCTGGGCATCTGGGTGGCCTTCATTGATAAAGGAGAGAGTCACCCCAGGAATAAGACAACAAAATCCTTTCAGCACCACCTCCGTTTTCTCCTGACCCCCACTTCCTGCTTACATTGGTAATCATGATGCATGGAACCACAGCAGCCATCTTAGGACCATGAGGCAACCAGCCCTGGGATGAAAAATGAACATGCTACAAAGAATGATGAAAAGAGCCTGGGTCCCTGATGACGATATCAAGCTCTCAAGTGGACTCTCGACCTTCCCCTCTTCAGATTTCTGTGAAGGAATAAAACGTCTTTACCACCTGTCACTTTAGTTGGATATTCTGTCCCTCATAGCCTAAATTACACAACATTTGAGGTGTGAGAAGTGCTCAGATAACAGCAAAAACTCAGCACTTTCATGCATAAGATTCTCATGTTGTCTTTCCTCCTGAGGGCTTTTCGGTGATGTTTCTCTGAAGTCCAGGTTTATGTTTTTGTTCCCATCATTGTTCTCCCTTCCACAAGTGTTTATTAATTACATACTGTATGCCCCCATCCTATGCCAGATACTGCACAAAAACAAACGACTCCTGGATGGAAAGAAAGCTTCTTAGAAGAGACAGTTCTGAGCCTTAAAGGAGAGTAGGAGGTACTCATGGAGAAAGGGGAGGGCATAGGAGGAACCAGGGGGAGAAAGGCTGGAGAGAACCCAGAGGCTGGAGACAGCATGCGTGTTGAGAGGGCTCCACAGAGTTCAGTGTCACTGAAACCCGAGAGGGAGGCAGGTGGGCAGGAGGTGCTGCCCGGTAGGAAGGTAGAGGAGATAAGGAAAGTGAGAAAATACCAAAAGTGTTATTTTTCTCCTGAGAGGCAGAAGCCACTAGTACAATCAGATTTTTCTTCAAAAAAAACTTGGATGGTTTATTCTTCAAAAAACTTAGTGCTGAAGGTATTATTAGAAGAAAGAGGTATAACTGTTTGCTGAGAGGCATGATTTTACATGTTTGTATTATTTTTTAGTTTCTGGCCATTGTCTCTTGTGCAGGTTCTAGAATATAGGTCTCCGTTGTTCCTTGGCCTGTGAGCTCCAACCTGTTTTTCATTATTGATGGATCTGGAGAGTGCCTGTGACAACATCACAGGGAAGGACAGAACACTAGTGAGAGAGTAGTGACAGCAAATGACATTTTAAGCGATAAGCGGGGGAGGCCGCATTTTGGTGTGACAAGACTGTATGCTGGTGAAGGGCCAGTGTGCTGAATAAAGGAGTGTGGCTCAGTTAGAACTCTTCTTCAGTTAGAGGAAGAGCTTCATGGGCTGGGTTCCAGAACTTCTGTTCTAGGAAACTGTACATAGCAAGACCTTTATCTTTGTGAAATGAAAGACTCAGATGGCTGTGGTTTGAGTCCTGGTTGAGGGCTGTTTTCTTTCAAATGAGAAAAGCAGCCCCCCCTAAGGAAGAGAATTCTGGTTCCCCCAGCCCCAGAACATTACTACTGAGGCACTTCAGAGCCTGTCTGGGTTAAGGCCCCGTGGGAGAGACCAGGAGACTAATGGGCAGGGAGCTCAAGGAACTTGGTAGGTTTGTCATCGAGCTGTGACTTGGACCCAGCAAATCCGGAAATCCTGCCTTTATACCACCTTACTGTGTTAGCTGAAGTGCCAGTGTGCTGGAGCACAAGCAACAGAGTACTACCTATCAGAACACTCATTGTGCTGCTCGAGCCAGCGTCTTCCTACCAGCCTTCTCTCTTTCTCCTCCACTCGGAACAAGCAGAGGATGCTGTGAAAAGAGCTCGGGATTTGTGTTCAGACAGACTTAGGTTCAGAACTCAGCTTTGGGTCTCCCTGGTGGCTCAGTGGCAAATCAGTGCTTGTCAATGTAGGAAATGCAGATTTTATCCCTGAGCTGTAGATACCCTGGAGAAGGAAATAGCAGCCCACTCCAGTATTCTTGCCTGGGAAATCCCATGGACAGAGGAGCCTGGTGGGGTCTCCATGGGGGTCTCAGAAGAGTCAGATACAACTTAGCGACCAAGCAACAACAAAGGTTCAAGATTCAGCTTCTCTATTTGATACCTGCGTAACCTTGAACAAATCGCTTCTCTGACTCTCTATTTCCTTGTTTATAAAACAAGGATAACCGTGACCTCTCTGAGGCCTGCCATCAAATAGGTACTCATTCGGTAATCATGACTTCCCCAGTGGGACAGTTCGTATCACCTTAGGGATTTCCAGTGGGTCCAGGGTGTTTTCTGCCACACTCCCAGTAAACTCTAGAGCACTTGGCTGCTGCTGCATTGTCAATGAGAGAATAATAAAAAAAAAAAGCCCAAGGCTAAAAGCAGTACAGAAGGGCTTCCCTGGGGGCTTGGTGGTGAAGAATCCGCCTGCCGATGCAGGATACGTGGATTCGATCCCTGGTCCAGGAAGATCCCACATGCCATGAGGCACCTAAGCCCGCGCGCGATAACTATTGAGGCTGCGCGCTAGAGCCTGGGGGCTGCAACTGCTGAGCCCCCGTGGCACAACTGCTGAAGCCCTCGCGCCCTAGAGCCCGTGCTCCACAGCAAGAGAAGCAATGAGCAGCTGCATACCACAGCTAGAGAGTAGCCCCCACTCGCCAAAACTAGAAGAAATCCTGCAAAGTCATAAAGTCCCAGCACCGGTGAAAATAAATTATTTTAAAGAAATGTTACAGAAGTGAGTCAAAGAAAAGCTCTTTATTGACACAGCAATGCAGGGCTGGAACCCATCAGCTTCACACTGCATTTTTGTCCCCTCCACTCCTGTCCAGTTTTCCCCTCATCCTTTCAGGCAGCTGCTTCCAGCCGGCCCCACCTTAGTTGTCAGCGATGGTTTTCCAAACCCAGTCCAGAATGGAGGTCACCTTCACATACACACCATACTCGGCCACGGCACAGCTCTTGTCAAAGCTCAGGATCCCAGCCGCATACCAGGTGTCGTCTTCCTGGTCGTGAACGACGAAGGCGCTGCCAGCATCACCATAGCAGGTGTCCTCCTGGTACTTGGACAGGCCAACGCAGAAGGTGTTCTTATTCAGTATGGGCTGCACCCCCACAGGGCTCTTATCTCTCTTATTTTTAGGCACAGTGCTGTTCTCGTAGTGCTCCACACACTTGTCTTGGTCAGCCACAGGCAGCATGATGTACTTCAGATGCTCCGAAAAGTTGAAGTTGGCATTTCGCCCCCAGCCAGACACATAACCCACACGATTCACCGCCACATAGTCTTTCGAAGGTAGGCAGATGGGCATTACTTTTTCATTGACGGGTACCTTCTGTCTGAGTTTGATGAGCCCGATGTCTACCTTGGAGTGGTCAGGATGGAGAACCACCTTCTCCACCTCTACAGGCTGGTTCTTTCCCACATAGAGTCTTAAAGTAGGAGCGATGTCCTTTGCTTTTTTGTCACTGGTATGACCCAGGTAGAGATTTTTAGCTGTGGTGAGGAGCCATCGTTCATTGATGAGCGTGGCTCCCGAGATGAGGTTATGGTGAGAGACCATCTTGGCCTGCCAGGGAAAGCTGCCTTTGGCATCCAATGAGCCACCAATGATCCTCTGTACCTGGTCCACTGGGTGCTTGGGCTTCCCACACACTGTCGAGGAGAGCAAGATGACCATTAATGTGAGCAGGGTGTGAGCGTCCCCCAGACCGGGAAACATAAAAACGCCCTCTTGCCACTGTCCAAAACTATCGCTCTTCATGTCTCCAGGGCTAGAAACATTTACATGCTTTGCCCTTACCTTCTGCTCCTCCCGTCCCCAATGTTTACAGTTTAAAAAAAATTTTTTTTAATGTTCACATCACTAAAGCAGAGTTCTGTTCCCTGCTTTTCTGACTCACAAACAGCACTGAAATTTTGAAACCCCAGCTGCTGAACTCTAGGTATATTTAAATGATTTATCACAACTAGAGGCACATGATCCCTGAAATTCAGTGTAAGGACAAGGAGCTACCAAGTTTCATTCTCTCTGAATAAATAGGGACATGAAGCAATGTTGACCGGAACACAGATTTTATAAATACTGGAGTTGATACCCGGCAGGTTAGCGGTTCCACAGCCCAAGTAGCAGAAGAGGATGGGCAAAATCCTCTTGTTCCAGGAGGGAAAGGAGAGAGCACAGCCCCTCTTGGTGACAACAGAGTCCTGGCCCTTCTCCAGCCTCTTGTAGCACATTCCCATGGATTACAGTTTTGCTCTGCCCTCCCTCAACCTGTTCTTCTGCAGCTTGCTTTACCCTTGGCCCAGGGCTCTCTAGGTGGGCTCTCTGTACAGAGTCCCCTGATCCTCTGTGGACAGTGTAGACGGTGGACGCGGTCAGTGCCTCGGAGGCCAGATGAACACATCCTTAGTGAACTTCATGGGGCGGTGTCACCAGCCTGCACACATCTCTGCCCAGCCACCTCTGGTCCCCCGGTCCCCGTCCTTGGCTGGTGTGTGCCCAAGGGAAGCCTCATAGGGAGGATGTGCCTTGATGTTCCGATCAAGATGCCTACCGTGCACCAGCCCATCAGTACCCACTTTCAGTCTCTCCCAGGCCCCAGGCTTCCTACCTGCCTCACATTCAGGGAGTTGCTGTCCAACGTTCTTATTTATCCACTGCTTCTTACTGTTAAAGGTGTACACTCCTGAAACAAAGTTAAAAAATACAAGCTGAAAGGGACACTATAGCTGGACCTAGCCCTGGGAGAGAGGGCATTTAAAGAGCAGAATCAGAGAAACAGGAGGAAGGAGGGTCAGGGAGGAGGAGGAACAGAAGAGCTCTGTGCTGGAAGTCAAGTGCTGGGGGCCACTGAAGCCCAGCAGGACGGGTAGTGGTCTAAGTGGCCGAGGCGATTGTGTCAAGACAGTACAGGGTTGGAATCAGGGTTCAAATCCTGACTTTCCCTCAGACAGGCTACCTGAACTTGGGCAAATTTCTCAACCTCTCTGTGCCTCAGTTTCTTCAGCAGTGAAATGAAAACAATAATCCTGTCTCTTGGGAAGTCCCTAGTGGTCCAGTGGTTAGGACTCCGAGCTTCTAATTCAGGGGACCCAGGTTTCATCCCTGGTCAGGAAGTTAAGTTCCCACAAGCTTGTGCAACTTGGCAAAAATAAATAATAGTATCTCCAGAGGGATGTCGTGAGGACATCAGGAGCAAATCTGTGGAGAAAACTGTGCACAGTACAGGAGCATAGTGCTCACGAGGTGAGGGCTCCCTGCCGTCATCACATCACCATCACCATCATTCTGCTTTATATAGATCTTACCCTGAGATGGGTAGGCTCCGTGGCATCACCTCCACTTAACAAGGGAGAAAACTCAAGCCTGAGGAGAGTTAATTTGCCCAAAAGGCCACAGCTGCCAGTGACAAAACCCTCATTAGAACCTGAATCTCCAGGCTCCAGAAATCACATGCCCTTTCTACCAGTCACCCTGGCTCCATCCCCTGTGGAAGTGGAGGGACAGGAGGCATTCGTCCAGGCCTTACCATCTCCAGCAGTGCGCAGTTTGTAATAAGTTTTGCACTGGAAGCGAACCGAGTGCTCCACATAGCCATTTTCAATCTTGGGGGGCTCTGGGCAGCTGGCATCTGCAAAGGAAAAGAGGAAGAGAAGGTTCATATTGGGGAACTGCCCCTGGAGACGCGAAAAGGCAGAGCAGAAGAAGCTGGTTTGCACATCAACCTCCTGCCATCCCCAAAGGAGACAGCACCAGCTCTTCCTGGTGACGATGGAGTTCTGACCCATCTCCAGCCTCTTGTAGCACATTCCCATGGACTGCGGCTTTGTTCTACCCTCCCTTGATCTGTTCTTCCTGCAGCTTGCTTTACCCTTGGCCCAGGATGTCTAGGTGGGCTCTCTGTACATACAGGGTCCCCTGATCCTCTGTGAACAGTGGATTCGGTCAGTGCCCAGGAGACCAGATGAACACATCCCTAGTGAACTTTGTGGGGAAGCATCAGCTGCCTGTGCACGTCTCTGCCCGGCCACCTGTGGTCCCCCCGGCCCCTGTCCTTACTGCTGTGTGCCCAGAGGAAGCCTCACAGGGAGGATGTGCCTTAAGGATGTTTCGATCAAGATGCCTGCCGTGCACCAACCCCTCAATACCCACTTTCAATCTGCTTCCCAGGCCTCTGACTTCCTACCTTCACATTCAGGGAGTTGCTGTCCAATGTCCTTGTTTATCCATTGCTTATTGTTAAAGGTATACACCCCTGAAACAAAAAGAAAAAAAAAAATGAGCCAAAAGCTGGACCTGGCACTAGGAGAGAAGGTAGTTAAAGAGCAGAGTCAGAGAAGTAGGAGCAGGGAGGGCTGGAGAAGAGGAGCAAGGGAGGAGCGCTATGCTAAAAGCCAAGTGCTGGGGGCCCCAGTAAAGCGCCGCAGGACAGAAGATGGTCAAGGTGACTGTGGCAGTCGTGGAGACTGTCAAGGCGGTCCGGGGTTGGGATAGGAGGACCCAGAGGCATTCGCCCAGGCTCACCATCTCCAGCACGCAGTTTGTAATATTTGTCACACTGATAGCGAACCGAGTACTCCACGCGGCTGTTGGCAATCTCGGGGGCCTTTGGGCAGCTGTCGGCTGCAAAGGAAAACAGGAAGACAAGGTTCATTTTCAGAAACTGCCCCTAGAGACTGGAAAAGTCAGGCGAGAAGAAACAGCATATCAAACTCCCACACCGCAAATGGAAGCCCAGGAGAGATTGCTGGCTGGCTGGCTGGCTCCCCAATGTTCTTTATGATACTGAAAGACCAGAGATCAGGATAAGGAGCAGTTGGATTTTCCCGGAGAGGATGAAGATCTGAAGGGCTATGGTGGGATGCAGCGGTGTGGCCAGGTACAGCCCTCGCCCACAGGCAGACCTACCTGTGTCCTCACTGCTGATTTCCACCACGAGAAGCTGCCCGCAGAGCAGGAGGGTGACGACCACTGGCAGGGCGCTGCAGAGAAGACAGAAAGGAGGGCACCGCTAGTCTCCCCGCTTCAACACATACACACACCCCTCTCGTTACCTAGAGACCCCTCACCCACCCACATGCATACTTCAGCAGCTTCCCAGTCACAGAGGTTCCTGTGTCTTCCGTGCTGCCGGGAATTCTACAACAGCTTCAGAGAAGAGCAAGCAAGATTGGGAAGGAATCGGGCCTCAGTGCATGGCAGGATTCAGGAAACCCTAAATTGTTAACAATATTTGAGCTCCTCAGCAAAGAGAAGCCTCCCTTGGGGGCACCCCTGAGGTGCTGGGCTATGAGGATTCCACTAATAAAATGCAGGTATCTAGAAGATGGAGCAGTGGGGGAGTTATTATTATGCTACTCTCTCTACTTTGGGGAATTTTCCATAATAAGACGTTCCCTAAAATATAAAACCCTGATGTAGTTGTTTCTATTATTTTATGGTAATTTGATTTCAGGAAGTCGTATAGCGAACCCCCAAATTCCAGAAGGTTACGTGGATGATAACTGACTCCGTAAAAGCTTGACTGTGCACTTGGGCATCAGTGCACAGGCCATACCCACCCATGGACCGTCTCCCTGGAAGATGGCAACTACTCAGAGATGGCTTGGTTAAGTTTCTGGTTTCATTACCTCAACATTTCAGAAAAAATTTTTTTTCTGTTTTGTTGTGTCACTCAAATGTTTCCCTTTTGGTCTTTCTCATTATTCATTTTTTTAAAATCTGCTGATAGGCATATTCAAAATGCCAGGGAGAACTCCCAGGCAATCCAGTGGTTAGGACTCAAAACTTGCACTGCCAAGGACCCAGGTTCAATCCCTGGTTGAGGAACTAAGATCCCGCAGGCCATGTGGTATGGCCAAAAAGGAAAAAAACGTCAGGAGGCCTACCACAGGGGCTACTGGCTTCCCCACAAAGATGAACACTTTATAATCTCAAGGAAAAAGCTATTTCTTAGAGAAAGTCATGCCTCATGGGAAAGACAGCACCATCTGAAAACATTACCTTTTATGGACACAGAAAAGCAGAGAATTTTTGCATGGTAAACCTTTATTCACTATGTGTGTGCTCAGTCACCCAGTCATGCCCGACTCTGCGACCCCACGGACTGTAGCCCGCCAGGTTCCTCTGTCGTTGGGATTTCCCAGGCAAGAATACCGGAGCGGGGTTGCCCTTCCCTCCTCCATAGGATCTTCCCAACCTAGGGATAGAATCCTGCATTGTCAGGCAGATTCTTTACCACTGAGCTGCCGGTGACACCCCTGTTACAAAAGAACAATATTATGGGCAGCACAGGAATATGGCAAGACCCTTGAAGCTGACGTGCAAATGAATGAAATTTGGAAAACAATGAGGTAATGACTGAAAGGACTGCTCCAAACTCATAATTCCTAGAAGTCAAGGACCAAGCTTTAATCCATTTCCAATATTTCCTCCAGAACCTTATGCAGCACATAGAACATAGAGGATCCTCTACAAACATGCTACTATTTGGAAGATAATTCTTATTATAAATATCGTTTGAGCATTGGTGCTTCCTGGCTCTAAAACCAAACACATGAGTAGATTCCCCCAGGCAAGATAAGCGTGAGATCCACCCTAAATAACCAGGGGTCAGAGCCAAGGACAGAATAAACCCTGAGAAGTTTGCAAGAATATAAGATATTGTTTGCACGCTGTGCATCAGAAAGCAAACAAAGTATAATTTAGTCCATTTGCCTTATTTATCTTCGTTGTATTTTTGCATTTCTCCTGTAGGCCTCTCCTGTACCCAGGCTGTCATGTAGATAAAAGATATATCCAAAGAAGGATGAAATAATCCAGAGAAAAGCGAGGGATAGGAGCAAACTGTAGACTCACCTCATCTTTGGTGTGTCTGGCCCTGGAAGAGCAGTGCCGTTAGGGGTACCTGCTGATGCTTTTATGTCCCCAGTATCTCACTCCACCCCCTTCTTGATTTTGTAATTGCTGTGTCTCCATACTTTGGCCTTATTAAGGTTACTCACATTTTCCAGTAACAAAGCCACAAACAACCTCCCTGTTAAAGAGTCCAGCTCTTGCTTCATACTTAAGTTTCCCCTGGTGTTCTTCATGCTTGAGCCAAAGAATCCTGGCTATGTCACTACCCCATGCAGCTGCCAAAGGGTTTCCCGAAATGAGCCAGTGTGCAGAACTGGGGGAGGAACCGTCGATCTGGGTCTCTTTGTTCTGAATGCTTTTCAGCACTGGACAAAGCCATTCTTGGGGTTGTTTCAAATCCATTAGAGACACTCCTGCAACCTGGCTGAGACAAGGCTCTCAAGTAAGCATTTCCTTTTCACAATCATTCCCCCACACTGTGTTGCCATTTCCCTATTCTGCAAAGCTCTCCAACCTGAAATCAGTAAAATGTACTCATTGTGTCTTCTCTGATTGCTTGTTCCAAAAAATCACACAGAATGGTTAAGGCTATAGTGCAGATGCAAACCATACTCAGTGGCAGTGGTTATCATGGTTTTATTGTTGTTGTTGTTCAGTTGCTCAGTCGTGTCCAACTCTTTGCATCCCCATGGACTGCAGCACGCCAGGTTTCCCTGTCCTTCACTATCTCCCGGAGTTTGCTCAAACTCATGTTCATTGAGTCAGTGATGCCATCCAACCAGCTCATCCTCTGTCACCCCCTTCTCCTCCTGCCTTCAATCTTTGCCAACATCAGGGTCTTTTCCAGTGAGTCAGCTCTTCGCATCAGGTAGCCAAACTATTGGAGCTTCAGCTTCAGCATCAGTCCTTCCAATGAATATTTAGGGTTGATTTCCTTTAGGATTGACTGGTTTGATCTCCTTGCTGTCCACAGGACTCTCAAGAGTCTTCTCCAGCACCATAGTTCAAAAGCATCACTTCTTTGGCACTCCGCCTTCTTTATGTTCTAACTCTCAGATTCATACGTGACTACTGGAAAAACCGTAGCTTTAACTATACAGGCCTTGTTGGCAAAGTGATGTCTGTGCTTTTTAATGTGCTATCTAGGTTTGTCATAGCTTTTCTTCCAAGGAGCAAGCGTCTTTTAATTTCACGGCTGCAGTTACTGTCCACAGTGATTTTGGAGCCCAAGAAAATACATTAAGTCTGTTACTGTTTCCATTGTTTCCCCATTTATTTGCCATGAGGTGATGGGACTGGTTGCCATGGTCTTAGTTATTTTAATGTTGCATTTGAGGCCAGTTTTCACTGTCCTCTTTAACCTGCATCAAGAGGCTCTTTAATTCCTCTTCATTTTCTTCCATAAGGGTGGTGTCATCTGCATATCTGAAGTTATTGGTATTGCTCCTGGCATTCTTGATTCCAGCTTGAGCTTCAGCCAGCCCAGCATTTCACATGATGTACTCTGCATGTCAGTTAAATAAGGTGACAATATACAGCCTTAATGTATCCCTTTCCAAATTTTAATCCAGTCAGTTGTTCCAGGTCCACTTCTAACTGTTGCTTCTTAACCTGCATACAGGTTTCTCAGGTGGTAAGTAAAGTGACCTAGTATTCCCAACTCTTTAAAAATGTATAGTAATCCAGTAATCAGTCCAAATAGGTGGGGAGAAAAGTAGATATACTTCAATCACATGTCTGCAGCTGAATACTATTCAATTTCAATCACACTCATTTCATTTATAAAAGCCCAGTGGTTCTTAAGAGTGTGCAGAAGAATCCCTCTGGGATATTTAAGGTGGTGCTGCTGATGGAATAGCAAAATAATTGGAAACAGCACAGATGTTTATCAATAGGAGAATGGCTAAATAATGTGTGATCTGTTTGTATAACAAGATTACACAGCCATGAGAATGAATGAGCTATGAAAGAACATGGATAGTTTTATAAACATAATTTTTAAAGAGAACTTCAAGTTTCATGAAAGTATATTGTGAATGATACTGCTTTTATAGAGCTCAAAACTAAGCAAACTCAGTAATGGATTCTAAAATATGACACCAAAATCACAAGCAGCAAAAAGAAAAATGGATAAATTGGGCTTCATCAAAATTAAAAACTTTTGTGCAACAAAAGATAATATCAAGAAAGTAAAAAAATAATCTATGAATAGGAGAAAATTTTTACAAATCATGTATCCAGTACGGATTTACTATCCAGACTATATAAAGAATTCTTACAGCAACAAAATGAAAAACAACCCAATTAAACATGAACAAATGATATGAATAAACATTTTTCCAAAAAAGATAAACAAAAATGGTCAGCAAGTACATGAAAAATTATCAACACTGTTGGAAAACATCATTAAGGACATGCAAAACTGAAAGATACCACCTTACCCCTACAAGCATGCATGTGTGTGGTCAGTCATGTCCAACTCTTGATGACCCCATAGACTATAGCCCACCAGGCTCCTCTCCATGGAATTTTCCAGGCAAGGATACTGGAGCAGGTTGCCATTTCCTGCTCCGGGGGATCTTCTCAACCCAGTGATCGAACCCACATCTCTTGCATTCCCTGCATTGGCAGGTGGGTTCTTTACCACTGAGCCACCTGAGAAGCCTCCACCTACAAGTATGGCTACAATTAAAAGAAAAAAAAAATTAAATCTTGGCAAGAATGTGGAGAAATTGGAACTCCCAGACATTGCTGGTGAGAATGTGAAATGGAGTAGTATTTGGAAAACAGTATGACAGTTCCTCAAAATGCTAACCTAGGATTATTAATACCAAATGACCCAGTGATTCCACCTCTAGGTATTTAACCCAAAACAATTGAAAAAGGGCTCAAACAGATTCTTGTACACCAGTGTTCATTGCAACATCATTCACAATATCCAAGGGTAGAAACAACTCAAATGCCCTTCAACAGATGAATGGATAAAAATACATACAGTGGAATATTGTTCACTTATAAGAAGTTCTGATATATGCCATGGCATGAATAAACTTTGAAAATATTATGTGAAATGAAAGAAACCAGAAACAAACAAAAAACAAATACATGATTTCACATGTATAAAATGTCTAGAAAAGGGAAAATCATCAAGGCAGAAAGTAGAATAGAGGTCACCAGGGGTGCGGGGGAGGGGTGTGTGCAGCAGGGAAGGAAAGGGGAGGTATTGCTTAATGGGTACAGAGTTTCTGCTTGGAATGATGAAAAAGTTTTGGAAACAGTGGTTGCACAACATTGCAAATACAATAAATGCCACTGAGTTGTATACTTCAAAACTGTTAAAATCATAAATTTCATATTATATATATTTTATTACAATAAAAAATTCAAAAAAGTTAATGAACTTTTTCTTGGTCAATTTTTTTTTAAAAAAAGCAATACTAAACAATATAATGTAGAGGCATAGATACCAAGAAAACAAAAACTTTATTTTTAAAAATTTTAATAGAACAGAAAACGCAAAATATAAAATGTTACCTCTCGTAGGGAGGCAGAAGGAAGGCATAAGAGAGAAGCATGTAGGTAAATATAAATACAAATACATTTTTGTTAATGATCCAGCTTTTGGACTGGGTAATGGGCTCAGTCCAATAAATGAAAGTACATTTTATTGTGCTTTATTTTTAAAAAGATGTATCGCACATATACACATATATATCTCACATATAGTATTTATGTACTGTGCTTAGTCACTCAGTCGTGTCCGACTCTTTGCAGCCCCTTGGATTGTAGCCCACTAGGCTTCTCTGTCCATGGGGGTTCTCCAGGCAAGAATACTGGAGTGGGTTGCCATTCCCTTCTCCAGGAGATCTTCCCAACCCAGGGATCAAACCCAGGTCTCCCATATTGCAGGCATCTGGATTCTTTACCCTCTGAGCCGCCAGGGAATCAAATAACATTTAAAAATACCAAGGTAGAGGAGTCACCTGATAGACTTAAGCAAAGCCACAGCCCCTCCTTCCAGAGATGCGATTCAGCACATCTGAGCAGGGTCTGTGTATCTGCATTCTAAATGGCCATAACTTCTCCTGGCCTGCACGACCACTCAGTTCCACGGTCCCATGAAATGAGGCAGAGGCTTTCTCTTTGGGGTGCAGCTGCCCCTTGTAAGGGATCTAAAATGAAATATTTCTCACCACCACTATCGAATAAAAATTCAGGTGCACAAAATTTGCACTTTTCTTCCAAACAAAACCTGAACTCTGTTATACCAACCCCACCTCTGGGGCAACAAGGGAAATTTACAGCCTCCCTGCCCTGTGTATTTTTTATTAGCTTTAACAATAAGCTGCTTGACAGTAAAGCTGCTTTGAACATTCTTGCACATGTCTTTCGGTGGATGCATTATTTCTCTTGGGTAAATACTTTGTTGTGTCAATGGTGGGAATATATTTAGCTTTGATATGAATAGATACTACCAAACAGTTCTCCAGTATACCCTCCCAACAGCAATATGACAAAGCTCCTATTGATCCATATCCTTGCCAATGCATTACAGTTTTAGCCATTCTGGTACAGTGAAATATAATAATGGCTTTAATTTGCATTTCCCGGACATCAAATGATACGTACTCTTTTTTGTATTCTTGTTGGTCCTTTTAGATATCCTCTCTATGAAATGTCTTCGTTGATTTGATTTAGGAGGTTTTTTTTTTTCAAGATATTTTGAACACTAATCTTCTGTTAGGTAAATGTATTGTCAACATCTTTCATTCTAAGACATGTCTTTTCACACTCTTCGCTGTGTATTTTGATGAACAGAAGTACAGTAATTCTGAATTTTAATAAGTTCTAATTTACCAGTTTTTTTAATTTTATGGTGAGTGTTTTTTTGTGTCCTGATTAAGGAATCTTTACCTATAAGATTATGACAACATTCTCTCTTTTTAAAAAATCTTTTTATTTTGCATTGGGGTATAGCCAGTTAGCAAAAGATGTTGTGATAGTT